ACTAGAGTTCAAAGACATGAAGCTTCACCCCAACATTGCTTGTAAGAGCCAGAAACTGGGAACAAATCGAATGTCCATTAGTAGTTAAATGGACAAATGGATTGGGGTATATTCATGTAGTAGAATACTATCCAGCAATCAAAATAAATAAGTTGTTCTAAATGGACTATGGGTGAATCCATCAAATAAAAACAAAAAAGATGAAAAAATTCTCAGGGAAATGATTAGAGAATGTTTTCATTCATATACAGTTCAAAAACAGATACGTTAATTTAGGAATGAACACATAGATGGTAAAACTATAAATTAAAGTAAGGAAATTATTGCCATCCCCCCCACACACACACCACTTTTAGGCAGGGAGAATTAAGACCGTAGAGTGACACTTGGAGCAGGTGTTTTCTGGGGTGCTGGAGGTGTACCCTTTCTTTCCTCTCTGCAGTGGTTAGATAGATGTTTCCTGTGTAATTATCCTGTGAAATGTACACAAATGTTTCATCTACTCTTCTCTATGTTGGATATCCCGCAATTTTTTTAAATGACAATAAATTGCCGAATCTCACAGAAATTTCTTTCATTTGGAACTTTTAATGTTTTTTTCCTTGTGGCAAAGGATCTTGACAGACAGTATCCCTTTTTTGATTCGGTTCTCTTGCCTTAGATAAGAATGTCATATAATCAATTCCACTGTCTTTACATTGCAATTCACAAGAGCGATTTCGTAAGGAGGCAATGAAGAGGAAGAGACAGAAGACAGTCAACTCAAGGCTGAGCTTTCAGGGCAGACCCAGTGTCTGACACATGGCAGGCACTCAGTGGGAGTCTGCCCTGATGAAACAGGCAGTGGCAGCTGGGGCTGGGGCTGACTCAGGGAGCATTTCTCCATCTTTTGTCTCGGGAAGAGTTTTTTACAATAGACACCTGGTAGATAAGGTGTTGTGAAACTTTGGGGTTTCGAGATGTTTTCCAGCCAGAGATATTTGTGTAGGGGGCTAAGTCTATCTCTAAGTCTATCTATCCCTCAGGACTTGCTTCTTTAGTCAGTTTGTAGAGCACTGATGTATCTATACATGGCTTTGAACAGAGCAAAGAGACCATGCCTCATCTTATGATGCTCTGTAAATTGTATCATCTTGCCAAATCCAGCACAGCACGGAATCATCCGTGCCGTGACTGAATCTTTTCTAAAGTTGAGTCTTTAGGGCAGCAGGAAACCAAGGTGATTTTAAAAAATCATTTGGCAAGCCAGCAAATAAATGCAGTTGGCCCTGGAACAGTATAGATGGGAACAGCACAAGTCCACTTATATGTAGAATTTTTTTCGATACAGAGCAATACTGTAAATATACTTTCTCTTCCTTACAACTTTCAAAACATTTTCTTTTCTCTAGATTATTTTATTGTAAGAATACAGTAAATAATACATAGAACATATAAAATACATATTTACGTGATCATTAATGCTTCTAGTCAACAATAGGTGAGTAGTAAAGTTTGGGGGGAGTCAAAAGTTACACATGGACTTTTGACTGTGTGGGCATCAGCCCTTCTAAGCCTCAGTTGTTCAAGGATCAACTGTATGCACCACGTGTAGAAATGCTTGTGAGCCCGTGATGACTCTATATGGGAACAGGCTCCCAGGAGTAGTGTGTCCTACCAAACAGTGGTGACCATGTTCCCACCATGAATTAACTGCTATGTCCTGATGTCACTGTTTATTCAAAATGGTCTCAGCTATCTACAGTTGCCAAGATCCTGAATGGGATGAAAAATATTAAGGGTCACTAAGGACATCTGCATATTTCTGCACATGAGAGCATGTGGGCTAAAAAAGGAAAAACCTGGCCCAGTAATAAAAACACCAAGTGACCACTTTGAACCACGTGATCCAGAGAGGCTCAGTTCCCTAGTTGTAGTTCTGCCTTCCACTGACGGTATAACCTTGGACTAGTACTATAACCACTCCAACCTTCAATTCCTCACTTGGAAGTGTCAGTCATGTGTTTCATGGGTATCCCACAAACTTGTGAAAATGAAATGAAGAGAGACATACAAAACTTCCTGTTGACTGCAAAGCCTTATATATTTGTAAGGCTTTAATCTTTTAGTCTTTTTTGGGTCTTAATCTTTTAATCTTTTAATTTAATCTTTTTATATCTTAATCTTTTTAACCTTTTCTAATTATACAGTTAACATTTATCATTCATTAACAAAAAAAATGAGGTTTAAAGAAAAAAATCTTCTTCCTCATTAGTAGTCTTGGGAACTGACCAAATTTGACAAATTTATATATACTTTATATATATACTTTATATGAATGTGTGTGTATATTTGCATGCATATTTTTTAACAAAAAAGGGATCATATCCTACTAATCAGTACAATACCGTGCAGCAACTTTTAATGAGGGGAACTATTCCATATGGACATAGAACAAGGATACTTTATGTGACAAAGTTGCAGAACCACATTTAGAGTACAACAATATTTGTGTAGACACAGAGTTCATGGTTTCCTCTGGTAAAAATATGTTGCAAAGGAGTGAAGTATTTTTTACTTCACACAGCTCTCTACCATTATCATTTTTTCTCTTAACCATATATACTTTAACAATAATTAATAAAGACTGTGCAGGAGAAAGTGTTGCATAAGTCAGCCAAATGGAGACTATGACATTGAAGTTGGAAGGAAAATAGCAGACCAGGGGCAGGGGGAACACTGAGAGAGAAGATTATACCAAAGAAATGGGAAAATGAAATAAAAGAAGCAAAATAAAAGTAAGCATGTTGCAATTTTCAAAATTATTCATGGGGGATAGAAAGAAACTGATCGTGCAATTTCTGCCGTCAACTTTCTTGTAACATATGACACAGCAAGAAGATACTCAGTTCTGCTGACTAGTTCTTTTTAATGACCCTGCACAACAAAGGGCAAGTAGAGGCCAACACAGATCTGCCGAGAGTAAGAAGGGCTAAGTAGGGCCGGTGCTCAACAACTTTGCAATTTTCATGTCTTTTTTTCTTTTTAAGATTTTATTTATTTATTTGACAGAGAGAGACAGCGAGAAAGGAAACAAGCAGCGGGAGGGGGAGAGGGAGAAGCAGGCTCCCCACTGAGCAGAGAACCCGATGTAGGGCTTGATCCCAGGACCCTAGGATCATGATCTGAGTTGAAGGCAGATGCTTAACGACTGAGCCACCCAGGTGCCCTCATGCCTTATAAAAATATAAAAAACAGCCATAAACTTGGGAGATGTGCATAAATGACAATCTATTGTCCCCTGGTATTTTCAAGCAACAGAATTTTGTCTGTAGACGCCATTGTTTTCAATAAATCTTTGTATCCTCTCCAACAACAAAGCCTGTATGTCTATGTTCAAAATCTACTTTGAACCTCTCTACATCTGTTTTCATCACCATCAACCCAGTTCAAGTTCACTCCCACCTCTTTTCACTGCAGTGGCGCTCTGACTAGTCTCTCCATTTCCATGTTGGCTCTCCCTCTTCCCCACCATAACCTTCCCACAAGAATATCAAAACAATCTTCCTAAAATGCTCATGGCATGAAAACTAAACTCCTTTGCACGACTTCAAGAAGCTACATGACCTGTCCCTTGCTTTGCCTCTTCCAGTCACCTTTAAGGCTTCCAGCTGTGCTAAGATTTTTCTCACCTCAGTCCTTGCCATGCTATTCTACAAACAGAAATGCTCTGCTATTCTTCCGGTTTCAGTTTCTCACAGATTTCTTCAGTCTCCTCCCATCCTCTAAATCAGGTCATAACCTGTATTTCTACATTTATTTGTACGGTAAAGGTTTTATCGGACTTATGTACTATGTTAAAGATGCACCATGACTCTACAGGGGTTCATGACACTATCCCCTCTACTTTTGTCTATATTTGAAATTTCCCATAATAAAATCCTTTAAGAATAAATGAAACAAGATGGACTCAGGAGAGAGACAAACCATAAGAGACTCTTAATGTCACAAAACAAACTGAGGGTTGTGGGGGTGGGGTAGGGAGAGGGTGGTTGGGTTATGGATATTGGGGAGGGTATGTGCTATGGTGAGTGCTGTGAAGTGTGTAAACCTGGCGATTTACAGACCTGTACCCCTGGGGCTAATAATATATTATATGTTTATTAAAAAAAAAAAAAAAAAAACCACACTGGGTTTCACAGACACAATTTCACACACACACAAAAGGCAAAATAGCTCATTAATAATTCTCAAGATGGATGACATGTTGAAATGATAGTATTTTGGCTATCTTGGGTTAAATCAATAAATCACTAAATTCAATAGATAAATAAATAAAATCCTTTAAAATTTTCCCTTGGATCCTGCAAGTGAAAACCAACAGTTTTGCTTGCAATTATCCTAGTTTTCCATGTTTTGTGTTTTTTTAATTTTATTTTCCTTTTCATGATGATTTTTTTGGGTTTTTGTTTAGTAACTGCCACAAAATGCCAGTATTTTTTTTAATAGATTTTATTTATTTATTTGACAGACAGAGATCACAGGTAGGCAGAGAGGCAGGCAGAGAGAGAGGAAGGGAAGCAGGCTCCCTGCTGAGCAGAGAGCCCGATGCGGGGCTCGATCCCAGGACCCTGGGATCATGACCTGAGCCGAAGGCAGAGGCTTTAACCCACTGAGCCACCCAGACGCCCCAAATGCCAGTATTTTAATGTTCCAAACAAGGTGTAATCTACAAGACAGTGAATTTGAAATTAACATCAGATAACCTAAAAGAAGGGTCAGAAGTTCATTTGTTCTTTCAGTTTCTGCTACTGAAGTGTTTTATTTGACTTCATTATTATTCAGTGAAAGGGACCCTAGAACAGGGATATAAAACTTCTAACCTAGTTCCAGTCTGTCACTTTGAGTGAGTCACCAGACTTTGCTTCCTTTTTTATAATTAATATAATAAATAGGCAAAGTACTAATTTTTTATTTGATTTAAAATTGTTTCCACAATTTGAAAAATCTAAAAAAGAGCAGTCATACATGATACCAAAGCTTTTTATTTTTTAATGAAGTGAAAACTCAAAAGAACTTTCCCTGTATTCATTCATAAGGTCATAACTCAGCAGCAGTGTTAATACCGGGTGTATCTACAAAGCCGAGAATGGGAATCACTACATCTCCTTCGTTAGATCGGATACTATGACTCTTCTCTTTTCTGTTGACATATTTGTGCAACATGCTGTAGTACTGGTCCTTTGGATTGAAAGTATACAGTGAGGAAATTTGCTGCCAGTCTTTGACGCTGGGGGTATTGTACTGCTTTGGATGCGTGCATTCAAAGAAACATTTAATATTCTCTTTGGCCAGTTCTATTGCATGCTCTGTGGCCTGACTTTTAAGGATCTGCTGCTCCTGTTCCAAATAGATTTTCCAGAATTTCAGCTGCAGGAAACTAACTGGAGATAGGCATCGGGAGACAGATGTAAAGATCAGAAGGAAGATGATGACAACTGCTATCAGGATCCAGCCCAGAACCTTAGGGAAAAAACACAGAAAAAACAGCAATTTAGCCACATTTTTAATATAGATAGATAGATAGATAGATGTGTTTAAAATCCTTTTTAAAAAGATTTTATTTATTTATTTGAGTGTGTGTGTGTGTGTGTGTGTGTGTGTGTGTGCGCTCACGCAAGAGAGAGAGAGAGAGTAAGTGAGCATGCTCAGGAGCAGGGGGTAGGGGGCAGAGGGAGAAGGAGAGGGAGAAGCAGACTCCTGGCTGAGAAGGGAGCCCCACTCAGGGCTCCATCCCGGGACCCTGGGATCATGACAGGAGCTGAAGGCAGACGCTTCACCGACTGAGTCACCCAGGCGCCCCCAAATTTAAAAATTCCTACCTAGAGTTTGAACTACTCACAGTGATTATGATGATCAAGCAACAGTTTTAGGTCTTAGTCTCGCTCTCTTTTTTAAAATCTATTTATGAGAGAGAGAGACAGATTCTCTGTGGAGCAGAAGCCCGAGGTGGGGCTCAATCCCTAGACCCTAGGATCCTGACCCGAGCAAAGGGCAAAAGATTAACCCACTGAGCCACTCAGGCGCCCCAGGTCTTGGTCTCTTAAGAAGTGGCAGTACTCCCAAAACCCTCGGTAGAACTGCTTGACAAATCATTTTCTAAGTCATGTCCAAGGCCCAGAGAATTCACTACACTAGAATTCAAAACGTGGAATTTTGACAAATCCAAAGAAACAAGCATTCCTGTTCAAGAACCTCTTAGCTTGGGGCGCCTCAGTGGGTTAAGCCTCTGCCTTCGGCTCAGGTCATGATCTCGGGGTCCTGGGATCGAGCCCCACATCGGGCTCTCTGCTCAGCGGGCAGCCTGCTTCCCTTCCTCTCTCTCTGCCTGCCTCTCTGCCTGCTTGTGATCTGTCTGTCAAATAAATAAAATCCTTAAAAAAAAAAAAAAGAAGAAGAAGAAGAAGAACCTCTGAGCTTCACATGCCCAGAAGCAGCGTGGGGTGGTGGCTTTAGAGCCAGGTCAACCCATTTTATTGTAACAATTCTGCCTTCTTCTGGCTGGACAAACAACTGGACCTGGGCACGGCGTATCAAGAAGATAACGTAGGATTGGAGGTCAAGGGCCTGGCGCGGTATCCGGCCCAGCGCAGGTGCCTGCAATCGTACGAGCGCCTTCCCTCCTTCTCACTCGTGCTACGGAAACAGTCGCCCTTCTCCTCTGTCTTCCGGGGTCCTGGGTCTGGACGCGCCCCTCTCCCATCCTCCCGACCGTGGCCAGCGGCCGGAGCCTGACCTGCGACTGGGCCTTGAGCTCCTTCAGCAGGTCCTGCGCGTCGGACGCCTGGGCCGGGCTGCAGGGCGCCTGCGGCAGCCGGGCCTCGCAGGTGGGGTCGCGGCCCTGGCACAGGCGCCGCGCCAGGGGGGCGCTCCCGGAGGCGGCGCACTCGTAGAAGGCGCCCCCGAGCAGCGCCACCGACACCCAGGTGAGCGGCGCGACCGCGGCGGTGGCGCTGAGCTGCGCGAACACCAGGACGCCCCGCCGCCCCGCGCCGCAGCCCCCCGAGCGGGCGCCGCGCGCGCAGCAGCCGGTCAGCAGGCGCCAGGTGCGCGCGTTGAGCACGTAGCCCAGCAGGAAGAGGGCGAGCGCGGGCACCAGCAGGAAGACCAGGCCGTAGGGCAGGTTCCAGGCGGCGCTGCAGGGACACTGGAATACCGCGGTGGAGAACACGCGCTCGCCGCCCGCCGTCAGGAGGGTCACCAGGCCGTAGCCCAGCGTGCTGTGATGCTTGAGGTGCAGGTCCAGCACCGTCCGGAACTTATCCATGGGCCGCCTACCCCCGCGGGCGCCGTGCACAGGCCTCTCAGCTTCTGCCTCTTCAGGGCCCTGCTCCTGCCACGGTGTGGGTGGGCTGGGGTCTAGGGCTTTCCACTCTGCTGGGCAGCAGCTTCCGGACTGGGGAGAAGGGCTTCTTGGGCCTCTGTGAGCTTTCGCTTTCTTATTTCAAGCCGGCCAAGTCTGGCTGGTACACCCTTGGCCTCTCAGGATCCCTGGTTTGGCTGATTCCATGGTTTCCTTTGTTTCTACCCAACTGACAAGAAACCAGGGGACTTTCCTTACCCTTCCTGATTCGATGCAGCTACCCAAAGAAAAGAGAACAAAATTCTACTAGCATAAATGCAGAATGCCAGGTTTTCCCCTATCACAGCCCCCTTCCTTCTAAGCTGACTCTCAGACCCAAACCATTTCAAAAGAAACTGGTCAGTTACAGGAAACATTACTCAAGGACGAACTTCTGGTTCCTCTTTCATAAGCTAAATCACAACAAAGCCCAGCTCAAGTTCTAGTACTTCCATAATCTTCTGGCCCCTCCTGTCCCCCTCCTGGACAGAATCACCGGCCTCATTCACACTGACTGTTGTAGCCTCTGATCTCCCACAGGGCGTTAGACTAAACCTATTGGGCTGGCTTCTGCCTCTTTTATATCCCCCAGGTACGTCCTAACACTGTCAGTACCTGGAGGACAGAGCTACCTCCCACTACCCCTGCCTGGCCCCAAACCACCATTCTGTAGCATTCTGAGGAAAAGCTATGCTCTCTGAGTGAGTCCAAACGGTCATGCGGGACAGTTAGGCCCCCTTCTCTGAGATGAAACCGGGTCCTGCCTGTAAACTTGCAGCAAAGTTCCATATTTGAGGCACGTCATTTCTGCTTTATTCCTACATCTCAAAAAAAATACTTTTTTTCTTCCCTTGTCCCTCAGTTGACTCTGCCCCTCTTACTGCTAGACGCTTCTTTACTCCCACCACATACTCCCAAAGATGTTGCCTCCCTGCTCCACACTTTCTGCAGACCACTATGATCGAGTCCCACTCTATCCACAACCTTTATGCAGGTGGCCTTATCCAAATCTCCCTTATCTGTAACCTAACTAAAATGTGCCCTTCTGTCCTCTTAAGTAACACATTTCGCAAAAGAAGAGGGAGGGTTGGCTGGCGTCCTCCCATTACAATGTGCAAACCCAGGCTCTTCCGTTATCTTCTAATAGTTCATTCTCCACTGAGGCTCAAGCTATTCCCCACAACCTCCTGCCTCACCTCACTCCTGCCATCTGTGTCCATTCCTTTCATTTATTAAGACTCCTGCGTCTGGCGACAGCTTTCCTCTTCCCCCTGGCTCCTGTTATTTCATCAAGGACTTGGTTTCAAATATTTTTAGTTCCAGAAACTTCCATCTTGTCAGGCTTCAATCCTAGCTAGAGTAATTCATTTGTTAACAGTTAACTAGTTCATTTGTTCATTCACTCATTCATTTAAATGTTTAATAAGCCCCCAGAATATGATAGGAACGTATGAAAGTGCCTGGTATTATTGGGTACAATAAGGAACAAGACAAACAGACACCTTCCTTTCACTGAGTTTGTATTAGAGGATATATAATGAGGAGGAAAGTCCTCAAGGTTATGAAAATAATTCAAATGGAATCACATGGTAGAGAGTGTCCCGAGAAAGCCTTTGTAAGGAGAGGACGTTTAAGGACAAATGTGAATGAGGAAGGCTGTGGGCTCCGAGGGAACTTAGCAGTCTGTGGTTGGAAAACAAGCCAGAGTGAAGGAACATTAAAGGTGAGGTCATGAGGTCGAGCTGCAGGGGGAAGGTCAGGTTTAGGGGCCTCGGTAGACCAGAGTATATGGTTTGTAACCCTGCCCATGAAACTCATTACAGACTGAGCTGCCTCCTGCCCTATTATCCTATCAGCTTGTGTCTCCAAACACTACCTCCTGAGGTTGCCACCACTGTGCTCCCCCCATCATGGATCTCCCAGATACCAATGATCACTCTGTACTTATTACAGGTCGCCGTAATTGCGAGAGTCTGGGTTCTGCCTGCCAGCCTGAATGTTCTCCCAGTGCCAGCCGATGAGTCTAGTCCCTGACATCTACCCCTGCCCTCATTGAAGCAGTGGGCGGTTCTAGTTTGGAGTCTGTCGGACATTGCTCAGCCCCTTATATCCAGCTCTGTCCGGAGAAGGCATTGCTGAGTTCAGTACTTAGTGGAAACAGTAAAATACTAATGGTGTGGAGGGATTCGAGAATTTTTTCTTGAGAGTAGACTAAATAATGCTTGAAAGACCTTCACACTTCTGAGAATCTGTTACTTAACACCAATTTACTTTAGCTTTTAAAAAACGAGTGTGAGATTCTCATGGTAAGCACACTGGAAAACCAGCAGTTATGGGTCTGGTTTGGTTTGGTTTGTTTTAACCGTAGGACTTTGTTTCTCAGCAGTATCATTATCACCGTCAGGAATGGGTTTCAGAAACCTCAAAAAAATCATGGAAAAGAAAGGAAGAGAAACTCTTGAAGGAATTTCACTCTGTGAATCTAAAAGGTCTTTGTAGTCATCTTCAAGTGAGTTAGATCTCAAATGTTATTCTCTGTAGTCTTCGTGAAAACTCAGACTAATGGTATGGCCTTGCTTGGAATATGACTTCTAAGTTCTAGCGAGGTGTCAATCCTGGTCCCGAGACCCACCCATAAGAATCAAATCAAATCAAATCAAAATTCATCTGTATTTTAAGTATCTACCATGTGCAAGACCCAAATTTAGATGCCAAAAAATAAAAAGTAAATTTAGATCTGACACTCTTAATCTTAGAGAATACTTTACTGTGCATTATTATTTATGAATACATTGTTTATGTTATGTATTTAAAAATCCGAGCCTGTTATTATGTTAAGATTTTTGAATGCTTGTAAAAGTTCTTCCAGTGCAAGTATAAAGCAAGAGGAAAGAAAGATCAGACCTTTTCCCTGACACAGGAATGTCGTTTGTTAAATGGCAATCCCATGACATTTCAAGTAACCTTTTTACAGATTATTTTCCCCTTTTCTTAGCATGAATTGTCTAAACCTATCATAAAATTTTAAATAGTCACTGATTCACACACTTAAAATGTATTTTCTTACGAAAGATGATTATTTTAACCCTGAGAACCCAGATGTGATCAGTCTTTGCTGTTATCACTGTTGCCGTCATCATCATCTGACACCGTAACTCTGTAAAGGTTCTAGTTTTCCTTCCAAGGTTCTTTTTTTCTTTTTTTTTCAAGAGAGAGTGCAAGCAGAGGGTGTGGGGGGGAGAGGGAGAGAGAGAGAATCTTAAGCAGACTTGGTGCTGAGCATGGAGCCCAACACGGGACTCAATCCCACGACCCTGTGATCATGATACAAGCCGAAATCAAGAGTCAATGCTCAACCAACTGAGCCACCCAGGTGTGCATCCTTCCATGGCTCTTGAAACCCATGTCTAGCTTCCTTTCCAACCAGGGCCCAGCAGGATGGCTCCTACCAAGAAGGGTGATAAAAAGAAGAAGGGTCATTCGTTCTGCCATCAACGAGGTAGTGACTAGAGAATACACCATCCACAGTCACAAGTGCATCTATGAGTGGGTATCAAGAAATGTGCCCTTTGGGCATTCAAAGAGACCCGGAAATTTGCCATGAAGGACATGGGAACTCCAGATATGCACATTGACACCAGGCTCAACAAAGCTGTCTGGACCAAAGGAATAAGGAATGTTCCATACTGTACATCCATGTGCAGTTGTCCAGAAAACATAATGAGGAGGAAGATTCGACAAACAAGCTCTGTCCATTGGTTACCTATGTACCTGTCACCACTTCTAAAATCTACAGTTAATGTTGGATGAGAACTAATCGCTGATAGCGAAATAAAGGTATAAAACAAGAAAAAAAATGTCTATTAGGAATTTTGGTAAATTACATTATGTTTTTCCATTGACTCAAATTGTTTCAAGGTGATTTTAATGTATACTAGAGCTTCACTGTCAATGGCCACTTACTTATACTTCGCTTCATTACAAGTCCAATTACCCTCCTGTCAAATTTGGTTTACTAGTTTGTGAACTGTGATCAAAGATTTGGATTTCCAAAGATAATAATAATAAATAACAAATAAGATTAAAGTTTAAGAATAAAGAAAAAAGTAATTCAGGGCACCTGGGTGGCTCAGTGGGCTAAGCCTCTGCCTTCGGCTCAGGTCATGCTCTCAGGGTCCTGGGATCAAGCCCCACATCGGGCTCTCTGCTCAGCAGGGAGCCTGCTTCCCCCTCTCTCTCTCTCTGCCTGCCTCTCTGCCTACTTGTGACCTCTGTCTGTCGAATAAATAAGTTTAAAAATCTTAAAAAAAAAAAAGAATAAAGAAAAAAGTACTTTAATAGGAGGAAATTTGGATTTTTTCAAATTATAAATGACATTATTGGGAAATATCAAAAATTTACATTAACTCAATGGAGAACATAAAATGTTGTGGAAGATCTTCCCTAAAAGAATGTATCACATGAGAGATGCCTGGCTGGCTCAGCTGGTAGAGCATGCCACTCTTGATCTCAGGGTTGTGAGTTCAAGCCCCACAGTGGGTATAGAGATTACTTAAAAATAAATAAATGAAACAAAATGAAAAAGAATACGTCACATGAAATACGCTGCAAATTTAAAACATTCACAACAATGGAATACAAAGTAGGTGCATATGATTGAGGTAGATCTGTATGTGCTGGTATGAGTGAGAAGACAAGAGTTGACATGTTAATTGGAAGAGGTAAACAAAAACACAGCATGCCATACATTTGTGTAAGAACTCTGAGAAACAAACTGAGGGTTTTGGAGGGGCGGGTATTGGGGGGTTGAGTGAGCCTGGTGGTGGGTACTGTGGAGGGCAGTATTGCATGGAGCACTGGGTGTGGTGCATAAACAATGAATGCTGGAAGAGTGAAAAGAAATAAAATAAAATAAAATGGAAAAAAAAAAAGAAAAAGAAAATGTATGTATGTCCCTTGCAGATTTGTATAATACTCTGCAAGATTAAAAAATACTGTCAAATTTTTACCTCTGAGTGTAAGGGAGAGGGTTGTGAATGAATGCAGGGAGAGAGACTCGTAGCACATCTTTCTTAGTGATTGTCCTTTTTTTAAACGTGCATATGTTCCTTCTACAACTAAAAAATACGTGAAATGTTTTGATCTAATGAAGAATCCCTGAGGAGGATGACCGGGAAGAGGCAATTTCCCAGGCTCTTCCTTGTCCTTCCTTCTCTGCACACAGAGCTTGTACAAAGGGTCGCTCCCTGAACCTGGAAGGCTAACAATTCACCCCTTCTTGCCAAAAGGAACAAATCCTAGTGAGAAACTGTTTGAAGAATATAGAAGATAAAGAAACTGAGTGTTTGAGAACTGGAAGATGGCAAAAAGCTGTAGGAGGAGAAGAGGAGAAGATCAAATGGAAAGGTGGGATTGGGTGACATTTATCCAAGTCCTGAGGGAAACAAGATGGAAGACCCACTGTCTCCTTCAGAGACGGTTTCACCTGTGCTCTATAGGGTCTTCTATGTACCCATTATTGCCACAGAAACAAGGCAGAGAGGAAAGGCAGGTGGAGCGGGTGAGCGGTTAGATTGTGGAGATTTTAAGTGCTATTATTTTCTTCCCATAGGAGGAGGGAGTTGGGTAGATATTAGAAAGCACTTTGGGAGTTCATTACTGAATTGAAGTGGCTTCTCATCCATACATACTGACACGTGCTCTTCAGGGCAACCAGAAAACCAAGCCAGAGGAACACTCTTCCAATTGGAGTCTTGGTCTTCTCAGGAACCCCATACTCTCCTCGCTCCAGCTCTGAAGTCTTGACATTCTGCTCCTTTAAGAAGTAAGCCTCCCCTCTTTAGGGATTGCTTTTCGATGATGAACATATAGATCTTCATCTCTGCGTCTTCATTCCTCTCCTAGGCAACATTTGCATCTTGGCAAGGTTTGGATAATTCTGTAACACCCTGTCTCTGGGGCACTTTCTGTTCCTTCTTCCTGCTCACTACAGACAGTGCTGTGGTCAGACTATGTCCCCCCCACCAAATTCATATGTTGAAGTTCTGACACCCCCCCCCCAAAGTGATGGTATTAGTAAATGAGACCATTCTGAGGTGCTTACATCTTGAAGGTGGAGTCCTCATAAGTAGGATTAGTGCTCTTATAAAAGAGGCCCCCAGTGAGATCCTTCGCTCCTCTCGGGGAGAGGGTATCCTCCCAGTAGCCATTAAATGCTTCAGCACAGTCTGGTAGTTCACAGTCTGGTGGTCTGGTGGTCCACCTTACTGGATATATAATCTTCCCATTTGCTAGAAGGAAAGGAATGATCATTAGTTCTACTACTCTAGGCCACTCTTTTGTTTCACTCTTCTTCCCACTCCACAAGTCATTAGCCTTCTTTCCAAAAGAAACAAACCAGAAGTCCAAACATGGAACTCACAGTCCAGAGTCTGGGTAGTGCGCGGCAGTCTCTACATCAGGTTTCATGTGGCCCATCTTGAGCTACCGAACCGTGAACTAACAGTAATAGATTAATCTGTCCCCCACAGGCAATGTACAGTGGAGAAACAGGGCCAGAACAACCACACAGAACACTCCATTCTGACAAGGAGAAATGGAAGCCAGCAGCAGGCACTGACTGATGTGTTGTTTCTGAAGTTATTCCTGGGCAAACACCAGAGGGGCCTCTTTCCTAGGCAAGGTGGGTGAAAAATGTCCATTGAATCTCTTGACTCCCCCCTCTGGAGGGTTTTCTTCTGTTATCACCATTGGCCGTGTATTCAGTGGGTATATGCCCTTAGTTCATGTGCTACTCGTACAATGTTGGAAGGCCACGAGTCCAGGGGGGTTTATGATTCCTTTGACAGTAAATCTCTCCCAAAATTATTTAGTAAGCTTCCTGTCTCTTATTTCAGTAAACTGTAATTGCCAATACTGTTATAGTTATTTTTAAAACATGGTTCTCAGATCTACTATGTTCTTTGGCCTTCTTGCCACATTCTCTTTCTCACTCCCCTCAAGATACATACACTTGTATGTATCTTTCCCTCTTGCCAGTACGGTTACCCTGAGTAAACATGAGACTATACTTTTCTGTGGGAAAGCTACACTTTTATTTTGATCTTTCTGAGGCTCTTTACCATTGTATATCTTAATTTTATCTTTGCCCCAAAGTTTCCGAAGTGATTGAGAGGTATTACTAATGGGTGTAAAAGCCATACTTTTAATTTGGCCTTTCCATTGGTTTACTTTAATGGACTTTCAAGTCTTCCCCAAACTCTCTCTCTTAAAATTTTGGGGCCTAAAACCTGTCAAGTTTTCCAATTTTGCAAACCCTCATTTTTCTGAAATATCTCTATTCCTTTTCATTTCCGCTTACAGATCAACCAATTCCTTTTTAAGCTTATAAAGTCTTTCCAAA